ATATAGAGTATTTTTAGTAACAGTTAATTAGTAGTCTATAATATTTTTACTCTAATATAATTCAGTTGTTAAATAAAAAAATAGCGCTATGTGATCTATTGTTGGTGTTTAAAATGTATGTATTTATAATTTTAATTTTGTTTTAATGATGTTACACTTTAATGATCTAATAAAACATAAAATGGTAGTAAAAAAGTCTATATTTATTATTTTATATTTTACAAGGAATAATTTTGCGCTTGAATAACGTTACCGTTTTAGTTAGCGTTAATAAGCAAGGGAACGCTAAAATTATGTTATGCCAAAACTCTCCATTAGTTTCTTCCGGATCACCAGGTGGCTCTAAATGACGGACCCATTTGTTTTATATCAGTGTCCAATCTATCTCTAGTACGCGACATTAGTTAGATTATGAGTCAGATAGAGTAGAAGCACCGCGTGTGCAACAAAAAATGAAGATAAATAAAAGTTGTTGATATGTTTGCGACAGTTTCCATAGTGATTTACTTATCCACGTAAGTATATGATCTAGGGGTAAATTATCTCCAATGAACTTATTTTGATTCCAATAATATGTAGTAGTTCTATGTCCACGGAATATTGGGACACCCTGTAGATAAATGTTTATCGGAATAAAAATTGCAGTATCTTCGCTTCGAAAGAATGAGCGTTACAAGCAAGGTTCGGAAGTAGTTAATTAAGACGTAGTTTACCTGATTAACTACGTGTAGTTTTTCTTCAAAAACTTCTTTTCGTCTTTTCGCGTTCATTAACTACATGAAAACTACGTTAATAAACTACTATGTATTGATATTATGAATAGTTTTCCTTTGTATGAGGGGTAGTAGAGATAATATGATGTAAATATTATATTTAAAGCCATATTTCTTCTGTTTTTTTTAAATACATTATGTGTTTTTAAAGCTTCAACTTATTAAAACCTCACATCAAACCTTTGATATTTGAAAGTTACATACATAAGTTACATAAACTACACCCTCTACATAAACTACATTAACTACATGTAATGTAGTTTATGTAGTGTTTAAAAGTAACATGTAGTTTTCCGAACCCTGGTTACAAGTCCCCGATTATCCATCGCTCGTTTGTATTGAAATACGACTTATAGTACAAAACATAGACTTAAAATAAAATATAGACTACACTATTTACATCTATACGCGGTCAAACAATCTTTTTTGTACACATGTTTACTTCTGGGTATTGGTTTTGTACACATGCTTACTTCAGTCGACCGAGCCTTCCTCATCCAGCCTATGTTGTCACGTCTTTAATATTATCAATATTTTTTTTCTGGTTATACACATATATTGAGATATTAATACTACATTTTAATGAAGTAGGTTTTAATATTCCATAGATGTATTAAATATACTACTAAATTATAAGTCGGATACTATTTAAAAAAGATAAGTTCTTTACAATATGGCAACACCGATTAGAGGCGATGTCGCCTCTTCATTCAGATATTCCCTTGTAGTACGCGTCGCACGTGTGCGGTAAAGCTTTGTTGCCACTATGTCCCCGGCTATATTAACGCATTTTCTTAGCTTGTAGTCCTTAAGTGTTTATTTTATTTACTTTTTCTGTTCAAGAATTATAAAATATGGTTCGCCAGTGCCAAATTTGCAAGAAATTTGACTTAAATAATCCATTTAAGTCTTGAAACGACTTTCGACCGGTAGGCAACTCTCAATTTACCCATTAGGGGTCAGTGGCGTTGTTGTAGAAAGGCGCTTATTTAGATAATATTTTAGTAAAATGTAAAATCTGAATTTTTTGTCTTACATAATCATTTATATAAAGGTTTTTGTAACAAAATCATAATTATTATAACCCTGTTAATAATTAATAATGTTTTTATTAAAAATATATTCCGGTTTATTCTAAAATTATCTTCAGAATCTAAAATAACATACAAGAATTTTAAAATCATATTACATTATGAAACAATATTTTTTAATATACCGGGTGTGTCTCAAAAGTGACTCACCTATAATTTTTTTATTTTCTCAGATAGAAAAATAGATTTGTATGGTAGTAGGTATATGACATAAATTAAGATTGATTGACGAATTCAGATATTTTTGGTTTCTTCGTGTTTCATCGGTAATGATTACATATTTTGATTTTTAAAGGCACCCTCGGTATATTGCTACTTTATTCTATAAGAATGACACTCTGAATAGAATGACATATCATATGTCAACTTTTGACATTATCGCTTAAAAACAAATCATATTTTAAATTTCAATCCAGGGTGCCATGGTGTTGATAAAAACCCTAAGTTTTAATCAAGGAGCCTTGGAAAAATAGTTTTGATCGACTAATGGGTTTCATATCTTGTCTAGGCCGGTTAAAATATGTACAAATCGTATTTTTAATCATATGTCAATTTATTCAAATGGAACAAGGGTGACTCATTAGCATATATGGAAAAAGCATTTTTTATGAATATATTGATACCACACACTTGGTATTTCAAGTCAAATTGTCGTTATGAACCGCGTGTTACAATTACAATTAAACCATATGCGAAAATGTCAAAAGTTGACATATGATATGTCATTCTATTCAGAGTGTCATTTTCTATCGAATAAAGTAGAAATATACCGAGGGTGCCATTTAAAAATTAAAAGTTATATTCATTTCGGGTGAAACAGGAAGTGACCAAAAACAATTGAATACGTCAATCAATCCTAATTTATGTCATATATTAACATACTAAATATTGTTTTTTTATTAGAAAAAAATAAAAAAAATATGGGGATGAGCCACTTTTGGGACGCACCCGGTATAATAAAGACAGTACCGAGTTAAATAAATGTAGTTTTCATTTTATCCACTTCCTATCACCTTCCTTGCTTTAATGGAACAGATTTATGTTTTCTCTAATTTACATAATAAGACTTTACTTAACCAGAAAAAAAAAGTACAACAATCATAACATTTTTTTTCTCTCCCTGTCGCCGATTCTATTATATCTGTAGAATAGATCCTGTTTTGATTAATATTAGGGGTTGTAAATGTTTGACTAAAATTAATATTTTTTAATAATTTCAAAAATTACGTAATTTCGATTATAAAATTTCTTCTATAACATGTGTTTTATTATATTTATCCTTTTTGGACTCTAAATCGTTTTTTCTAAACTTTTATTACAAAAAAACCTCTCCTAAATCTTAATAAAATATAAAAAAGTTTAAATACGGTATATTTTTAATTTAATGATAGCTTCATTAAAATAAAAAAATTACCCGGTTATGATACGGAGAGTTCAGGTGTACTTGAGAAACGAAAGACAGTGTTGCGTTTCTCGTCAGAGTCGTAAGGAAACGACCATTACGACAGAGACAACCTATCTATCGCTCGTGTCGCACTCGTTATAACCTAAAACAATAACACAACAATAACAAGACATTGTCTGACCACATGTTCCAGCTATTTATGAATGAGATGCTCAGTCTCTATTTTATTTAAAGCCTATGGTACAATATGATAAAAAAAACGGCGTCAGCGATGGCTATGAAATGGAGATTGCTGTCATTTTTTATATGTAAAATTATATGCGGAATGTTATCGATAATTATTTCCAAGCCAACTGATTAGTAGATCCAAAAATTAAAATATTATTTATATTCCCAAAAATGTGTTGTTTTTAAAGATATTCAAATTAAAAAAAATGAAATTGCATTATTTTTCGCAATGTTTAATAAAAGCTATTAAGTTTTCGGATATCATGAATACAGACAAATTTTTCATTGTTATCTGTTATCATGATGTGTTACCATTCTTATTCTTTTAATTGTTTTAATTATAATTGTTTTTGGATACCATTGATAACTATGAAAGCTTTAGGAAAGAGACGAAGAATAAAGTAAAAATTAAATTAAGTATTTTTCGAACGAAGTATGACCATTAGAGTTTAAAGATTAAAAACATAATGACATATGACATAATAGTAAAATGCCATAAAAAATAAATTAAAAATAAATAATCAAATTAAATTTAACTCTGAATGAATATTAGCTATAAATATACAAAAACCAAATATTTTTAAGATACAGAATGGAAGTATTAGTAAAAATTATTATTCTAAGTTTAAAAAAGCTTTCTATGCTTCAAAAATATCTACATACATACAGTATGTGCCCGGATTGTCTTTACAATAGGAAAAACTTTTCTACTACTGAGATTTTGAGAAAAATGCATTCTTCATAAAAATGTTTGCTTGTTCTAAAATGGTTAATCCCGTTTATACTTTTTCAAATTTCCATACCATTTTAGAGAAAATTAGAAAAAACAAGAAAATATAGTTGGGGTCCTAAAAATCAAAACGCGTTTCTATGGTGATATTATTTCGTTTTCATTCTTTGATAAAATAGATTATTGTTGATAGGATTTTAATTAACGTCATATTTTTCCCTTTTAAAATGTTAAAGAACCAGAAAATTTACTTAGTTCAGTGCTACGGAAAAGGTGGTAGTAGTTATCGGAAAATGAAAGGGAAAATGTGATACTTTAACCACAAAAAAAATATATAACGTTAATCAAAATTAATAATAACCATCTATCAAAGAATGAAATCGAAATTATATTACCATAGAAACGCCTTTCTAGTTTTAGAAAGAAATCAAACATATATTCTTTTTTTTTCTAATTTTCTCTAAAACGGTATGGATATTTGGAAAAGTATAAACGGGATATTAACCATTTTAGAACAAGCAAAAATTTTTATGAAGAATATTTTTTTCTAAAAATATCAATAATAAAAAAGTTTTTCCTTTTGTAAAGACAATCCGAGGACATACTGTATATGAGAAATGTAAGTTAATAATTCGTTAAATTAAACATAAAATACTGACTATGCTATTTTCTATTAATGTTTGAAATACGCAATCTGTAAAATTATTACGACTACATGTGGCTAACGGAAAATTTTGGATATTTTCATAAATGACTTATGCGAGAATACTTACTTAAAGAAAATAATACTGCAAATATCCGAATACTGTTTGGAATGTGTAATGAGCAGCACTAGGAACAACCGAGATTCGCTGGTTAGCTCCGTACGATGCTAGAGCGCCGGAACTACTGATTACCGCGAGTACCGACAGCTTTTGACAGGTTTTTTTTCGCCGCGCAAAGGACATCAGAAGAGGTTAAAAAACGTAAAAGGTAAAAGTGTTATATTTAAGGGCACCGGTTGCTTTGAACTAGTTATAAAAGGCTGTAAACATTAACATGCAAGCTTTTTTAGTTTTCTTTATTCGCGTGAACTATTATACAGGGTGACAGCTTGAAAAGTCGCAATGGGGAATATCTTTATACAAAATGTAATGTACCTACTATTAGGAAGATCTGAAATACGTATCGCGGTTTGGAGGGGAATTTTGGTTTTCCTAAAGGGTTCCCATACAATTAGGTTATTTTACACAGTTTTAGCCAAACGCGCAGGGGTGGATGGGCCATGTGGGAAAACGGGAAAATTCCTGGTGGGCCGGTGGAAAGATGGGCCGGTGGGCCGGTCCAGAGCTCAAAGAAAATTGGATTAGCAAAAATTAAATGGTTAATCTTCTAACTAAAGTGACGTAAGGTCCTTAGTGACTCCATAACTAACTAATCAATTTGCAATTGTCTTCCTCTGGGACACTTATAATTTTAATAATCATCTGTTGTTTGTTCGGTTTGAAAATTTTATTATACAAGGTGAGTCTATAAGTGCAAATATTTTCAGGGCTGGTAAATCTCAATAAAATAAACATAATATATATTCTCTTTATCGAGTTTCAAATAAGTCCAATTGAATTATTAAGGTTTGGAAATTAAAAAAAAAATAGATTTATTTTAAAAAAAATTGGAGCCATCTCAATTTTTCGGTATTAGTGCCGTAATGTCAGAGATTAAGAAACTATACCGTGGGAAAATTGGCGGTGAACAAGTTCTAAAAAGTTTTCTAAAATATACAGGAAAATTGCTATTGGCACAACATAGGTCCGATTCTGCTTTGTTTCGTAGCTACAAGGTGTGTAATATTTTTTCGATTTATTAAAATTTACTTCCAAGTACTTTTAGCAATTCGAATGAAATTTTGAGGGTAAAAGTTATTATAAATGCGACATATCTTAACGGTAAAAAAGTGTTAACATATTTACCAGGGACGTGCATATGGGTTATCTCTGGAATATTTTTCTTAAAAAAGCATGTACGCCACTGAGTTTTTTTCTCTTGTTAACAAAATAGTGTAGCCGTTTAATGCCGATTAAAAGTTGTCTCTTGATATTTTGTCCATTTTGGCTTTCTTGATGAGGTAAATTACAAAAGTTTTAAGTAAGTACTCATTGATTCCTGATCAAAAAAACGTGAAAAAAAGTTCCTATAAACATGGGTATGGAAATGCATAGTTTTAAAGTTACAGGATGTTAAAATTTTTTAAAATAATACATTTTTCGTAATTACATATCTTAAATACCATTATTTTTTTATTTGAAATTGTTGTAGGTTGGACTATTAGTAATAATAACTAACAGGAATAATATTTAATAATAAATTAGGTAAAATATATAATTTATTAATTTTGTTTTTATTAATTGTGATTAATAAAATTGCGTTTATCTCATCAAGGAGGCCGAATCGGGCAAAATATTAAGAGATACCTAACAAATTTAATTGGCATTAAATGGCCTACACAATTCTGATATCAAAAGAAAAAAGTCAGTGGCGCACATGTTTTTTTTTTGAAAAATACCCCAGTGAATACCATATGCATGTCCCTGATGCATTTATTGACTCTTTTTTAGCATTCAAATACGTAACACTTATAGTAACTTTTACTCTCAAAATTCCATTCAAATCACTAAAAGTACTTGAAAGAAAATTATAATAAATCGAAAGATTATTAAGTTTTTAACACCCTGTACTACGAAACAAAGCAGAATCGGACCTATGTTGATATGAAAAATAAGTCTTATTTTTACGTTGAAGATGCGTTGAGAGATGGCACATGTTTTTTGAAACACCCTGTATATTTTACTGATTTATAAAAGTGCCAAGTATTTTTTATTTAGCGCCAAATGCAGGCAAAATTGATGATATACCAAACTAAAAAGGTAATTAAAATATTTTATACATGTTTAGTAGGTCATTTGATAACTAACGGCGAGGTACAATCTATTTAGTATGTTTTAAACGTAAATATTTTTGAAACAATGGAAAATAATTAAGGCTCATATATAATACACACATATCTCGTCATTTATTTATTATAAAATAAGAAGTTCAAGGTAGCTACAAAAATTATTTCCGTAATATACAGGGTATTATTAAATAAGCGCAAGAAAATCCGTAAGGTGTTGTTTTTTTTTAAAATTAAGGTAATCTTTATATATAAAATATTTTAATTTGCCGTTTCCTTTCGATGTTATTAGCATATACCGTATGGTCGAAAAAAAAACGGCGTCAGCGATGGCTATGAAATGAAGATCGCTGCCATTTTATATGTAAAATTATATTAATGGCATTGATGTTCATTTCCAAGCCAACTGGACACCGGTTTTTTCGATTTGTGATATGGTATATGGTTGCATCATCCTCACTTTTAAAAAAGCCGAAAAGTGATACCCTTGGCTGTAAACTTTGCCCTGGGTATTCCCAAGCAACACAGATAGTAGCAGGTACGTTCCTGGGACTACAAAACCGACCATCAAATAGACTGCCACTATAGACGGCTACGTTGCCGCCACGTAACTGTTACTAAAATGGGGAAGAATTTAGGGTAACTGGGTAGTATACCGGGTGGTCCCAGGGACTAACGCTGCCACTATACTTCGTAACTATCAAGTGAAAGGGTAGTAGCGGCCACTATCCTGCTACGTAGCGGCCTGGTCGCCCCTACGTAGCCGCCTGGTAACTGCTACTATATAGGAAGTAGCAAAACATTCTTCTAGCGACCTCTACTTTAAAAAAACGTTTTGAAATAAAATAATAATATGATATGACAGCGCGGTGCATGGCCATGTCAAAGTTAAGTTAATAATGGCGTGTTATGTTTATGAGAAAAATGATGGTTTTTAATCGCGTATTTCGGACACTTCCAGGACTAATATAATAACGCCACGTCACTTTACTGACAAATATTACCGAGTTAGATGGAAATATTTTAACGCGCCTTCGAATTAATTCAATTTTGTAGATATTTAAGGACAAAAAATAATTTTTAATATCAAAAATATTAAAAATAATATTTCGTAATGCACGAAAGTGTATTCGAGTTCTAATTGGAAAAATAAATGCTTAAAGCACTATAAAACTTGGGAAAATAAAGAAAACAATGAAAATATATTAACAAATAAATTTAATTAAAAAATGTCTGATAGTAAAAAATGGCTGACGCACACTTCGCTACGATAAAGTTAGGCTCTTCCCTATGAAGTAGCAGGGACTACCCATTTTTTACTTTAAAAGATCCGCTACTTCCAGTGATTAAGTTGTTACTACCCAAAAGTTACTTTGTAGTATCAGTTACTACTTTGGAACTTTGTTATTCCTAAATTTATTTAAATTTTGTACACTATGGTAACTACTGGAACTAGAAAGCTACTTTGAACACCCAAAAAGTCGGACAATCAGGCATTTTGTGACAATATAGTTCCATATGTCTCTATAAAGTTCCGCCTACCTCTCATCTCAAAACAATTTAAGAACACTAATTGTTTATCTAGGAGCCTTGGAAAAACATATTTGATCTTTTTATGTTTTTCGTGTCTTGTCTTGACTGGTTAAAAGATGTCTAAATTGTATTTTTAATCATATCTTAATTTTTTCAAATGGAACGAGGATGACTTATTAGCATATTTGAAAAAAGCATTTTTACGAACAATTTCGTAATTCGTTTAAATAAATAAATAATTCGTTTTTTATATTTCGAGTCAAATTGCCGTTATGAACCAATGTTACAATTTCAAATAAACCATATGAGAAAATGTCATATTATGATGTCATGTTATGATAGTCATATTATGATAGTCATTCTATTCAGAGTGTCATTTTCTATTGAATTAAGCAAAAAATATTTAGGGTGCCATTTAAAAATCAGAAGTTGTTTTTTACGGTGAAACATGAAGTGACCAAAAACAAATGAATAAAAAAAATGATGAATGAGAAAATCGAATTTTAACTTTCACCCTAATCTGAAATCATGTAAAAATTCTTGTAATGGAGCTTTTGACTTGCAACAATAAATAGCTGCCACCAAAGGTTGATCGCAAGGATATTCATGCATTTTTAGGAGTATCGGCTAAAATTTTAATGGAGAACTCTTAAATGGAGGCAAGCCGTCACCACTAAAAATTAGAGACATCGATTCTAGGTTGGTCTCTTCGGATAAACGTGCTACTAAAATGTCCTTATTCCATTGTACCAATGGCACAATATCTCAGTGTACTCAATAAAGTCCTGCGGTTTCCTGGCAATGATGTTAAGCCTTCATTTTTTAGTATACCAAGTAAATCTGTTAAAGCAATGTGGCTAGTCAGGCCGTCAGTGGCTAGTCAGGAACCAGTGTTACTTTCTTCTCTGAGCTCTGTTTTATCTTTAAATTCATCAGTAGTCACCAACTCGACATTCCTAGAAAAATGCAGCTATAAGAACTTTACAAATATATAGAAAATACGACAATTATGCATAATAATAATATGTATATGAATTTTCAAAAATAAATTTAAAATAATTTATTGTCATATCAAAGCCCAGTCATACTTCTCTATATTTAATCCAATAAACCCTTTATCCTGGTGAACTTGTCTAGAAAGTTCCACTAGCAGCGCAGTGAACAAACAATTTTATTGATCTTTATTCTTGTGGTAACGGACAGGATGGGTAAATACGCGATCTGCTACTATAAAGAAACATTTTTTAGTTTCCACAACTTTATAGTAGCAAGACGTCAATAGGAGTATAGTACCCGTTACTTTATAGTAACAAACCATAGTTGCAGCTACTATTTTGGGACCAACAATCAGTACCCAAATGCCTCGTAACTTTAAGACCCAAAATATAGGGTACTGCGACTATTCTGCGACTAAGCATGGGACTATATAGTAACAAGTACTTCATACACCCAGTTTAGTAGC